GGGCGAGTCAGGAGAGGTCTGTCACGCCATGTGGTCACCTCCGGGGCAGGCGGGAATCGAACTCATGAGGAAGCGGCTTTAGATTCTCAGTGCTGTGCTTCAACCCGCTGCGCCACCAGGGAGGGCCTATTATTAATTATATTTTAATAGTGATCCTCTGACTTATTCCAGAGGGTAGAGAGAGTTGAGAAGGTAAAATTTGTAAAGTGAGTTGACTATAAATGTAGTAGCTACATTGTGACCATTTTAATATATGTCTAGCAACACTGGCTTTTAGTTTGTTCTGGCAAGGAAAAAAAAAGACAAAACATTTGTTCATACACCTGTAGTGGGGTTTGTGAATCACTGTCTACACACATATTTGTCTCACCCTTCCTAAACCTGTTTAAAATACCTTCATGTATAACTAAAACTAATAAAGAAGAACCAGCCTTCAGGGCACCCTAAGGCCAGGAACCAGAAACAGACATTGGTATAATTACCGTTCTTTTGCCACATCTTTAGAACTCCAACATGTCTTTATAAACCTGGAATGAGTATAATTTACTCTCAAAGCTTACTCTGCATAGATTTCCTCCTCCTCCTCTAATCCATCATAGTTCTTTGTCCCAAGTATATTTAATTTGCAATTACTTGTTTACATATCCAGCTTTTTGGTTTATTCACCCAGTGAGACTCAGATCCAAACATAAATTCCAAAACACAAAGGATCAGCACAGCTTGTTGAACTGAATTTTCCTTTACTTTAGGACAACATACTGAAGTAGGAGAAAACATGATATGAAGAGGTCAGCTGAGTCATCCTAGCTCTATAACCTAGAAACCAGTTTCAAAACCAGGAGTGGAGGTTGGCTGAATTGTAAGAAAGGAGTAAGATGAGATGAACTCTGGTCGTCCTTTCCCAGTAATCCCTGCATTTCTGTAAAACTTCAATAACAGAAAAACAGAACTGGGAAGATGAACACACTCTGATAAAAGAACTAGACAGAGCTGTGCTATAACACCTACTGACAGTCATGGGGAAAGCCTAACTTACGATAGTTCCTGGGAAGAAAGGAAGAAACCATGACTGTGTCAATGATGGACCTGAGAGTTAAGCCTCAGGGCTGTCAAGGCTTCTTAGATTTGTAAAAGGAGTTCTTAAAAGTCTGACACTAAGTCTAATGCTGATCTCACTGCTATATAAGAAACAAGATACTTATCTGGCATTGGGACTTCAGAATACCAACCATAGGGCTTAAAGATGTTTAGAGCACAGAAAATAACTTAAGCTAATGATTTTCAAACTTTAAGTATGTAAGAATCAACTCTAGGTCTACGACAAGCCCAAATTCCATGCTATAATCCAGAAATGAAAACAAAGAGGCTCAGAAATCTATACTTTTAAATGACAGCCCAGCTGATTCTGACAAAAATGGGCTGGGGCCTGCTCTGAAAAACACTGTCTTAAGTGATTGCCTATCTAATACCTCACTATACAGATAGAAAAGCTGAAGTCAAGAACATCTAATACTTCAGTTCTGTTGGCCTGAAGTAATAGGAAAGGAACATCCCACTACTCCAATCTCCTGTGTTCACTGAATTCAAACCAGAAATTCAGGAGCTTTGATTTCATTTCATTTGCCAAAGAAGAATTATATCTTGGATAGGCATGTTTAGGGTAACCTGGTATTAGAAGAAACTTCAAAGGAATCAGTGTATTCTCTCAGAAGGCAAAAGGGGAAAGGTACAAATATGTTCCTTCTTTCTACAGACATGAGATTAAGTAAATACATTTTGCAATATGTGCTTCCAGGATTTATTTCAAAGTCATGAACACAAACTAAGAGAAAGAGCAGGCTGCCTAACATGCTTAGTATACATTTGTTTGAATGTACATACAATAGCAAGATTTCCGATGTGACTCTCCTTTATTACCTGCGTTGTTAAGTTGGAGCCGTTTCTCACTCTCTGAGAAGGGAGGAGTCCTGGATCTGTGTGTCCTTTCTCTGTGCTCACCTTGTCCATGGTTCCGCCCACATACGGCTTCCTGGCAGCGAAGCCCTATTTTCTGTGAAGACTTGGGAGAAACTTGGTCTTGGTATCTGGCGTCTTTTTCCAAAATATGAGTTCGATGGCTACTATTAGCTTCCTGGTCATCAAATTCAGTACTCAGAAACACTTCTCCACTGATCTTGGGAAGTGGAGGTTTACGGGGTCTCTTATGAATAGGTCGTTTCCTATCATGCTGTTCGGAGTTAATTTGAGGGTCATCCCTCATTTTTTCCCAACTAGAGGATGACAAAGTTTTTTCTGATGACTGATGCTTTTCCAGTTCTTCCAAGTTCTCCAGTGGATATTTTGATTTCTCCTTCTTCTGTGTCACAGTCTTTCTATCACCTTGGAGTCTAGGAGACCTTGAGAATCCAGAACCCAAATCCCTTGCCCTCCTTGACCGTGGATGGTCTGAGTGGAGGTAGAAGGATGTGAAACATAAAAATGCAGGTTAACTTTAATAAGAGTATGAACTCACTACACAGAGGATCAACAGGGACCAAATTTAACATTTTTTGAAATTCAACTTAACAAATTTACAATAAGGGATGGGCATTTACTGGAATATTCATATATACATGAAGGATTCTGGATATATGCCTAAAAGGTAAACATTTAAAATAATGTGAAATAAATCTGAAAGAGCTTGATGATGATTAGCGTTAACACAGTGATTTGATATTTATCAATAACAAAAATTATAGCCATTAAATATTAAATTCTACTTATAATACCAGTTTGGAAGTAGTATAGGGAGATAGTGGAGTTTGAGGGAATCTTATAAAGTAGAGTAGGAAAAAACAGCTTTGTGATTCAAAGACTTTCAAATCTTATTTACTGGAATTGACAATAAATCTATACCAGAATGTTGTGAGTTTCTACTTAGTTCAGAGAAATGACCTGCTGGCTTAATATTTCTTATCATTTCCCTTTAGATGGTCAAAACAAAAATTCTCAACCATATTAAAATTTAATGAGGACCCACAGGATGAAATTAGAGGAGAATTTTAAGTGAGTTCAAATGACTCTGCTGCTATTGTCATATAATTCTGCTACAAATCTTACTTGAAATTCAGTGGAGGAAAAGCTTTAGAAAGGGATGCCATAATGAATACCTGAAAAGGAGTCACTTCCTAAACACATTTCAAAATTTTACATTATTGCATTTTTCTGTGTAAAATTACAGTGTGTTAAGTATATAGGTCCCTAACTTTATTACATATACTTTAGTAACAACACAAATGGGTGCTTCCATCAGATCTCATTTAGGTTCACAAGCACGCTGCTAAACTAAAGGAAGCAAATTAATATGTCCTCTGCAACAGTAGACTTATTTTAACATTTTCCAAGACTTTACTATTTTGAAATGATTTAAAAAAATTATTCCATGGATTGTTTAGATAGTGATGATATTTCCATTCTGTTCAATTTTTTTCTTTTATTGTTGATGATATAATAAAGGAAGGGTGAGATAAAAGCAGCAATGACACCACAGCTTGGACTAAACAACCTCAAATTGTTTCCTTTAGCTTCCCAGAAAAAAAGTAAATTTGTCTCAAAGATGATACCTAAATTAAAACCTCTCTTTTAAGATGTCTATAAGCTTATTTACTCTATTTGTGGCTGTTTATTTTTTGCATAAAAGCAAAAGTGAAACAATAATTATTCTCTGTGATTAAAAAGTTATGTGTGTTTAAACATAGTATTTCAGCCAAACTATTATTTTAAGTGTATCCTGACAACTGACAAAGGATCAATTGACCACTGCTTGTGCATTGATATTGACCAGCACTTTAATGATGACCACATCCAGGCAACAGTGAGCTGTTCATAGAGAGCTGTATGAGTCAAGTCTGCCTTTTAGTCCAAAAGCAACAAGAAGGGTTTTGTGTTTGACATGGATTTTGTAAAACTGTAAAATTATAACTGTTAACTCTAAAGTTAAAGATAGTAGTTTTACTTTAGGGAACTCTGATAGGAAAAGAATAGATGTTACTATATTTTCAACTAACTGAAAAAACATTTATTGTCTAATTCACCTGTGATACCCTTAAGTGAAGCAGAGAAAAAAAGACTGAATAGGGGAATTTGAATCCTTTAATGGATTTTAAAATCTTGTCCAGTAATGAATCAGGCTTATATATATTTCTTAGGATTAAGTTATTTGGCAAATATAATTAACTTCCCCATAATCACTAAAATATACACACACACACACACACACACACACAAACATATTTACATTTATATGTACCCACATACATTTTGAGTGCATCCATGTCTGTCTTGCAAAATAAGATGATTTTGTTTAGATATATAAAATTCTATGTTTAAACACACATAACAATGATATATGTATACATCATAGTATTTCAGAGTTTGTAGGTCTTCACCAAAATTATAGTCTTTGTTCTCCATATCCATGTAAATGATGTATTTTCAGAAATCTCCATTTTTATGGATGATGATCAGGTTTAACATGATTACAGTAGATAATTTCCTTAATATTACAATTGTTCTAAGGAAGAATGGAACTTTAATCAAGGTTACAACAGTCCAGAAACTATGATTTTTAAAATCACTAAGAAGCCTGCAATACAGATAAGTGGTTTTGAAAGAAAAACATGGGTTCATTAATGAGTAAATTACACCTTTTAGTTGCTACAATTGTGAGAGAAGTTTTGGAAATTTTTAAATTTACAGAAATCACAACCGATCATTTTTTAAAAGATGAATTTATTAAAGTTTAAGTAAAAATAAAGGCTAAAAAGACCATTTCTGTAATGATACACTGTGATTATTTTGAAAATAATGCAAAAATCATATTACATAAAGATAGAAATACAATTAAAGAAAATCCCTCGTGTGTTGGGAAAGGACCACTGCAAAGAACATAAGAACTGCTGAACTATAATGTGGTTTCTGTGGAACTCAATTTGGTCTAAGTCAAAAGCATAGAAATGAGGATCATATGTTCAACAATGTATGATCTCTGAACACCACCACTATCAAAGCGAGGGAAATCCCAATATTTAATGTAATACTCAGGAGGTCGGTACTTCCTATTCCTTATCAGCCCCCCACCAATCTCAAAAAGCAAACATGTATGCCACTTTTTACATGTTCATAAATGCAGTTAAAACAAATACTGAGTAATTTTTTAAAATGTAGTACCCTGAAACACCATAGAATTCTTAAAAATACTCTTTTTTAAAAAACATCTATATCAGGAATGACAATGCTCTGGCTAAGCATCAGATTTGAGGTTTGAGTCCAAATTCTACTGAGTATAAGATTTTCTTAGAGGACACTTAACATCAATACCTTATGTACTTACTGTAATACTTTCAAAAACTTAAAGATTTTAAATATTTTTATTTGCAACGAGCATGTCTCCAGAGCAGAATTAAAAATAAGAACAAATGGAAAACATGAGACTACACTTCTAACATCAAAGCTAAAGAGTAACTCTTTGCCATCTGTTCTCTAGTATAGCAAATATGCCAGTAATTTCCTTTTAACCCATGTAAAACATGATTTAAGTAGAAAAACAAGCATAAGGAAAACTGGTATCAGTAAAGGGCTGAGCAACTTAAGTATCATAGAACACATCGATAATAAACTGAATTCATGATTATTTCATAGAACTGGATTATAACAAATTTACAGCAACACTGTACTAAAATATGCCTATCATCTAAACATACATTCCTATCATTCTACTCATCATGGACAAAAACTAAAGTTTTTATCATTAAATTATAGAGAAGCAATTGATACTTAATATGCAAGGGCCTTTGGGATTACTGAACTTAAAAATCTACTCCTTAAATGCTACCTATAAATTTTATTTACTTGTTAATCTAAGTATAGTCCCAAGGATGAATGTCAATAAATACTGATATTAAAACCTGCAATAAGTATCTTTCTTAACGGATCTTTAAAAAGGACAGGACAGGGCCTCCCTGGCAGCACAAGGGGTTAAGTCTCAGCACAATGAAGCTAAAGGCAGCCTCCGGCAGCCTCCTTAGGAAGAGTTTCATCTCCAGCCAGGGAGGTGACCCACAAGGCACAGCAGACCTCTCCTGACACTAGCTGCTCTCCTCAGAAGTGTATTTCACTGTTCTCCTCAGAAGTGTATTTCAGTCAGTCTGCCTGTTCTGCTCCCCACTCTGGCTCTGGTGAATTTGCTCATCACATCCCTTCTGGCCTATATTCCAGTTGTTAGATGCATAAATAAAATAAATCTTAAAAAAAAAAAAAAAAAACAGTACTTGCAAATATTCATTTCCCAACACACTCTTAAGATAAAAAGAGTAACCACCACCACCACCACCACCACAGTTGCCACCACCGCCACACAACCACCACCACCACAATGCAAAAGCAGGCACTAGAGAAGAGTAATAACTTTGAAGAGACTTTTCTCTCACTCAGAATTTTTTCTGTATGGTAAGCAAGTAACAAAGACAGCATCAAAAGCAAACAATGAAGAGAATCTTAAAATTTATTTTTGATTTCAGCAAACAAATCATTGTCTAGGTTTGAGTTAAGAAACAGAAAAAGTTGTTGCTATCTAATATTTATTATTCATGTCATTCTACTGCTTCAAATAGTACTGCCCAAACTTCCCTGAGAAAGATCAAATCCAGAGACTTACCTGCCATTTTTCCATACCTCAGTCTATGTGCTTAGAATATAGCTATTCCAAATGGCCAGGCACAAAAGAATTCAGGCCAGCCTTATAACACTGTATTCAAGTTTTAACAGCCATAAAAATGACTCTGGTGACTGAACAAAATCCAGGTAAGTTCATTATACTCACATAGAATCTGCCACAAATCTAAGTGGATTCTAGGGTCAATTTATGGAAGAGTTTAAAGGTATGTGTTTAGGTTGAATCTAAAGATAGGATAGATCATTATGTAGACATTGTTACCTCCATCTTCATAGTAGTAACTGTCTCCATGAGCTTTGGCGCCAGAGGACTCTGGGAAGTGCTTCTTTCGTTTTTTCTCTTCCTGTAACTCCTTCTCTTGCAAAAAGCGAGCTATGTCCTGCAACACAAAACAAATGGAAATAAATACTACTAGAGATATAACAACCTCTATACAGTGACTCTACCGGTTAACTGCCTAACACTCCATTACCAAAATTTCATGCACGGTCTCTGGCTCTCTAGGCTTTCTAGCATTAATAACATGCCACACAAATACCACTGATAATTACTTAGAATGTCACCTAATCCAGATGATAAAAAGGTTTATTCTATTATTTAAATTTAAATCTTAACACAATCTGAACACTCAAACCAAGTATTTCCTGAAGCTTGTTATTCAACAGAATTTTAAAAATACATGTGGGCCTTTTTCCCCAAAGCAATGATTCAGTAAGTCTGGCTAGAGAAGAATGTAGTAATCTATAAAAACTTCATGAATTCTATTCATAAAGTAATTTTGAATTTTTCACAGGACTTCTTCAGCTGATTAAGCTTTACATTAGAGCACCACTGACTCAACAGAAAAAGAGAAAACAGTCGTCCTCCTGTTTCCCTACTGCTTAACTTCTAGCCAAGATTTTAGCAATTACTAAGTGATGAATCACAACCTAACCCTGCCCCCCAAAAGAATATACTCCCCTATGAAAATAAAGGTGTATGCAAATAATTAGAATTAAATTATAAACATCTATTTCAGTGGGTTAATGATGTCTATGGGAGTACAAATTAGGGAGTATTATTTCTGCCTAGATAATTTAGTACAAGGTTTTACATTGAACAAAGAACTAAATTCTAATAGGTAAAGTACAGAGACAGACAAACATCAACAAATGTATGAATGTTTTAATGTGTATCAAGGTAGTGAACAACCAACACTTCAATTAGAACACTGGATGTGGGGTGACAGAGAAAGGGGAGGCTGGATTGATAGTCTTAATAAGGCTGGAGTCTATTAAGAGATGAAGGATTACTCAAGATTTTCAGGTGGAGAGTGACAGTGCTCTGAATCTGGAAACTATTTCTATAAAAGTACCATAAAATAGCATATATACTTAGTTTATGTATGATTTTTTTGGGAGAAAAGACCCCTCACATTCACCATATATTAATATTTCAAGATCACACAAAATGACGACACCACCATTAGTGCCAATAATAACAATCATAAACAGTGTGAGGTACTTCTTTATAATAAAGAATACAAGAAATGATTAAATGTTAGTGGTATAATTTTGAAGAAGACTTCTTATTTTTCCTTTTATAATTTTCTGAATAAGTGAGTATGATGAATATATTAAGACTATATAGTAAACTTAAAAAATTCATCTAACTGAAATCAATTTCAGAGCAATGCAGAAACAAGCTGGATATTAAAATTAGGTAAATTTCATCAAAAGTTTGACAAATCTTACTTCATATTAAATAAATACCTAAATTCAAACTTATACTATGAACATGCTGCCTTTAACTGATTTTTAGTGTTAGCAGTTTTGACTTGACTTCTTTATCTGCACAACAAAGAGTTTGAATTACTCAATCTTAATGTCCTAAAGTCTTAACTCCTCAATGTATTATTTTAATAAATCTGTGATTGTCTCCAGGTGTCCATTAATGTTGCCAAGGCCCTTACATATGAATATCTTATAGTTATAAATCACTTAGAATGAGAGAGAAAGGTGGAACAGTAATTTATTCTCCCAAGACTTTTTCAAAGACTCTGTTATTTTTACAAAAGCAGTAAGAAAATGAAAGCTTCAACTGAATAAGAAGAAAGGTCAGGTAGGCTTGAGGGAGGAAAGGATAAATGGGAAATTGTTGTTATATTAGAAATGTGGTTTAGTACAGTTTTTTCCCTACTTTCTGTAAACATTAATGTGCAATGGAGTTCAGTAATGTCATATAACAAGTACAAATAAATTTCATGAAGATTGAAATTATATTAAGTTATGTGATACAGGCAACATATATATTAACCTAACACCAGGCATATGTGAAAAACCCATAGCCAACATTATACATTATACTCAAAGGTAAAAACTTGAAAGCCTTTCCTCTAAAGGTACAAGAGTCAGGAATAAGACAAGGATATTCATTTTCACCACTACTATTCAACACAGGATTAGAAGTCCTAGCTAGAGCATCTAGGCAAGAGAAAGATGAAGAAAAGGAATACATGTTGAAAACAAAAAAGGAAAACTATCCTTATTTGCAGATGATATGATAATGTGCATAGAATTTGCAAAATTTGTTACATTCATACTTGTAGTAACCTAGATGAAAAAGAAATCAAGAACACAATCCCATTTCAATGCATTAAAATGAATAAAATACCCAGGAATGAGCTAAACAAATGAGGTCAAAGAATTGTAAAACAAAAACCATGAGAAACTGTTAGAAGAAACAGAAGACACAAGAAAATGGAAAAATGTTCCTTGTACAGACAGTATGAATTAGTATAGTTAAAAAGGCCATCTTTCTCATGCAATTTACAGATTTAATTCAACCCCTATCAATGTTTCAACAGCATTCTTCAAAGAATTAGTAAACACATTACTGAAATTTATATGAAACAACAAGACTAATAGCCATGGAAATTCTCAAAAATTAACAAAGGTATCATACTACCAGACTCCAAACTGTACTGCAAAATTGCAGTAATCAAAACAGTATGGTACTGAAATAAAAATAGATATAAAAATCAATGAAAGAAAGTTGAGTGCCCAGAAATAAACCCATACATAAAAGGACAGGAAATTTACAAAAAGAGCCAACAGCAAACAATGGAAAAGGGAAAGTCTCTCTTCAATAAATGGTGGTGGAAAAATTGAACAGCCATAGGTAAAAGACATAAAACTAGAGCAACATTTCACACCTTATGCAAAAATTAATTCAAAATGAAATAAAGACATGGATGTAATCATAAAATAGATAAAAACATGGGTAAAATGCTTCCAACACTGGCTTTAATCATGTCATTGACTCCAACTGCAAAGGAAATAAGGGCAAAAATTAACACATGTGACTATGTCAAAAAATCTTGCAGCAAAAGGAATTACCATTAGAGTAAAAAGACACCCAACCGAGAGGAAATATGTGCATATCATGTATCTGACATGGGGCTGCAAAAAATTCCTACAACTCATTAAAAACAGAAAGAACCCAATTAAAAAATAAACAGAAAAGCTAAGTACACTTATTCAAAGAAGACTTATAAACAGTCAACATGCATATGAAAATATGTTCATCATCACTTATCATTGGGTAAATGCCAATCAACACCACAAGGAGATACCACACCTGTAAAAATAGCCCATTTCAAAAAAGATCAGCACAAGCATTGGCAAGGATGTAGAGAAAAAGGAAACTTTACATAGGCTGGCTGGTCCAGAAAAATAGTATGGAGATTTCTCAAAATATTAAAAATATCTTATCATATGTAAAACATAAAATAGAAAAAGTAGGTCTGAAAATGTGAATGTCAAATAATTGTCAGAAGGAAAAAATAAAAGAAAAGCCACTCCACTAAGTAACAATTAATATATTAACAGCTATTTAATTCAGCAGGGAATTCTCAAAGCAGAAATACTTCCCTAAAAGAGACACTCTGTAAGATCAGCAATAAAATACCAATTCTATAAATTTAAAAACTTGAATATAACCAAGAGAAGAACTTCTTTCTCATCCTTCCTTTCTGTTCATAAATACACAAATTTATTTTAAAGTGCCAAAACTTTAGTGACAAAAATGTATCACTATTTAAGCTATTCTCTAAGTATTAGTAATTGATGTAAATACTCATTTAGAATATGAAACTTCAATCACATTAAGAATGCCACGAAAGGGTGCCATAGTTCAAACTAGATTAATTTTTAACTTAAATTGGTCACTAAGTTGATCCCTGAACAGTTCAGACTATAAATGGCTTCAGGTTGTTGGACTGGTGCCTCAGACTTTTCATAACAAGGCTGGCCATGTTAATATTTACTTAAGCAAAAAGGAAAAAAAAGTCCCTAAAATAGTTGCATATTCACATTTATTTGGGTATAGGTTCAAAGACAGATATATGTATATCTGTGTATATGTACATACATTCAAACACAATCCTTGGTATTACTAAGCAACACTGACAAATGCTTACACTGTGATCAAAAAGAAAAGACACCAATGGAATTAGTCCACTTTTATTAATCACTAACTTAGGCAGTCCAGGATCCCAAAGGCTACAAGCCCGCTCCCTTCTAGGGAGAAATACAACTTCTATAGTCAAGAAACAGCATATAAGTGTTTAAAAAAAAAAAAAAAAAAAAAAAAAAAAAAAGAAAAAAGCAAAGCAAGGTAGGAAGGAAAGGGAAAAGAGAGACAGAGACAAAACAGTGTCTGGGAGAGTGGTGGGGGGAAGGGTAATACACAATGG